TATTGTTTTCATCATAATATTAATATCAATCCATTTTAACTACAATTATTATTAATAATTTTTGCTTAATTGCTTTGCAAACCCCACTTCTAATCAACAGATTTACAATAATAAAAATCATTTTTTGATGAAGAACCTCTTGCCTTTGTAAAAGGAATTCTGTGTTGATTAGCCTTGTAAGCTTTTTTCCAAGTGACTTCTATTACACATGTATTGTAGATGATATTTTTACCAGGGAATTCGGAGGTAATATTTAGTAGCCTAACTCCAGTGGGTATTGATATTTTGGATTATAAGTTATTTTTTTAAACAAATTGTTTTGTTTTTTATGTGATAAACATTTTTTAAATGCCCTTTTCAATAAATTTCAGTCAATTAATGTACCATGTTTTTCAGGGGCATAGATTCAATCTATTATTACATTAACTACATAGAAAACCCCCCTTTTAAAAAAAAAACTCTTATATATTTTGATGATCTTGGGAAATCTTGGGAAATTTGCTCACCAAATCTTGGGAAATTTCAAAAAAGTGAGTGGCAGCCATGGTCTAAGGCCATTCCACTACTACTAATAATAATAATAATTGGTTGTTGTCTTATATAGCGAGGTACCCCAGCCTACGACTGGGCTCACCGCGCTGTACATAAAAATATTTAGCAAAAGAGACCTAATATCAAAATAAAATACATAAATGAAATAAAAAAACAGCAAGTAGTCAAAAGACAAAAACAAAGGTATATTCACCCACTACCCACCCACCCCAGAAATTTTACAAGGGCAAACCATGGACGGCAGCCAGCAGGATCGTTTATCGGTCAGAGGAGGGGAATCAGTCAGGGTAGTATAGTTTAAAGAGATGTGTTTTGAGTGCAGTTTTGAAGGCCTGGGTGGTTGGTATATTGCGGATGTGTAGTGGCAAAGAATTCCATTGTTTGGGAGCGCAGAAAGAGAAAGATCGTTCACTATATAATTTAGTACTACCACAAAATTAAAAACCAGAGTTGTGAAAAGCGGAGCCGTAACAGGGTATTTTACCCGAAGCTTGAGCTAGAAAAATTCTTAAAGCTCCAAAATTAAAATGAATGAATTTTTTTAAAAAATCCAACACATTTTTTGTGGAAATGTTTCAGATTTGTTCAGGCATAAAAACTTTAATTAATTATTATAAGGAAAAACCATGGCAATCGTCATGGTAACCGTAGCCGTAATGGTCAAAATTGGACTGCAACGTATAACCTAGTGCAGGGGTCGGGAACCTATGGCTCGCGAGCCAGATGTGGCTCTATTGGTGGCTGCATCTGGCTCGCAGACAAATGTTCGATTATTAAAAAAAGTCGCATTAATTGTAAGAAATACTCAGTATTGATTAGCAACAGCATAACAATGTTATTAAAAAGAATTCAGAGACATAATTATTGCCTTTTTAGTGTTGAAATTACACAAAATGCACACATTTTACTTGAATTTTTAGTTTTAAACATAATGTATGGCTCTCACAGAATTACTTTTCAAAATATGTGGTGTCCATGGCTCTCTCAGACAGAAAGGTTCCCGAGCCCTGACCTAGTGCATGGTCAATGGACCACGGAGTGTGCTAATTGAAAACTGAACATTGAATATCCTCTTTAATATATATGTAGAAATTGTTGAATGTTCGTAAATGTATAGATCTGATGTCTATCTTGACAATTTTGACATTTTGACACGTATTCGCTATCTTCTATGTTATCAATAGATGTAATAATAATAATATTGTTTGAAAAGAAAATATATTCAGTAGCAAAATTTTTTAAACTGTTCGTTGTGTAATAAAATGGCATCAATCTTTCGTGGTTCAAATTCGCCAAGGCTGGTCCCAAGCCCGGGTGCAAAAGGAGGAGGGTTGGTGTGAGGCCAGCTACCTCACCGGTAAAAAAACAAACAGCTAGTCTACGTCAACAAAAAAATAAATAAAATAATAATAATAAAAATCAAAAAAAATTTCAGCCCTGATAAGAGAGAGTTCTTCTTCCCTTGCGAACAAAGCCATGTTATATCGGACGCCTCAAAGTCGAGGACCCTCCTCTCTAGGGAAATAAACATAGGCTCGTGGAATGTTAGAACCATGAATGAAATAAGAAAATCAGCACAAGTGGCGGCAGAAACGAGAACTTACAAACTCACACTGCTCGGCACCTGTGAAACAAGCTGGATAATTAACTTTGGCCTCAGGAGAAACACTAATATACGCAGGGCACGAGGAAGAAAATGCTCCACACACACAAGAAGTCGCTTTCATGATGACACGCATGGCACAAGGGGCATTGATAGGATGGGAAGGCGATGGCACAAGGGGCATTGATAGGATGGGAAGCCCATGGCACAAGGGGCATTGATAGGATGGGAAGGCGATGGCACAAGGGGCATTGATAGGATGGGAAGCCCATGGCACAAGGGGCATTGATAGGATGGGAAGCCCATGGCACGAGGGGCATTGATAGGATGGGAAGCCCATGGCACAAGGGGCATTGATAGGATGGGAAGGCGATGGCACAAGGGGCATTGATAGGATGGGAAGCCCATGGCACAAGGGGCATTGATAGGATGGGAAGACCATGGTCCAAGGGGCATTGATAGGATGGAAAGCCCAGGGCACAAGGGGCATTGCTAGAATGGGAAGCCCATGGCACAAGGGGCATTGATAGGATGGGAAGCCCATGGCACAAGGGGCATTGATAGGATGGGAAGCCCATGGCACAAGGGGCAATGACAGGATGGGAAGCCAATGGCACAAGGGGCATTGATAGGATGGGAAGTCCATGGCACAAGGGGCATTGCTAGGATGGGAAGCCCATGGTCCAAGGGGCATTGATAGGATGGGAAGCCTATGGCACAAGGGCATTGATAGGATGGGAAGCCTATGGCACAAGGGGCTTTGATAGGATGGGAAGCCTATGGCACAAGGGCATTGATAGGATGGGAAGCCCATGGCACAAGGGGCATTGATAGGATGGGAAGCCCATGGTCCAAGGGGCATTGATAGGATGGGAAGCCCATGGTCCAAGGGGCATTGATAGGATGGGAAGCCCATGGTCCAAGGGGCATTGATAGGATGGGAAGCCCATGGTCCAAGGGGCATTGATAGGATGGGAAGCCCATGGTCCAAGGGGCATTGATAGGATGGGAAGCCCATGGTCCAAGGGGCATTGATAGGATGGGAAGCCCATGGTCCAAGGGGCATTGATAGGATGGGAAGCCCATGGTCCAAGGGGCATTGATAGGATGGGAAGCCCATGGTCCAAGGGGCATTGATAGGATGGGAAGCCCATGGTCCAAGGGGCATTGATAGGATGGGAAGCCCATGGTCCAAGGGGCATTGATAGGATGGGAAGCCCATGGTCCAAGGGGCATTGATAGGATGGGAAGCACATTGAAAACGGTGATAGACTGGCAGACTTATGTGCGCCACGGTATATGAGAGAGAAATTAAAACGGTGATAGACTGTCAGACTTATGTGCACCACGGTATAGGAGAGAGAAATTAAAACGGTGATAGACTGGCAGACTTAAGT